TTGAACATGCTGAGCCTAGAAGAAATGGCCGATTTAGCGATATACAAGAATATTTTTGTATTACATTCTTTGAGTCACTCATTCATAAAACACAAACATGAGTGAGTATGGTTTACGCCGCTTTTAGCAATATTCCAGCAATATCACGATGAGGGACACCAGAAATGGGCTTCACACATTGTACCCATGTGGGGAATCGAACCCGGTCTTCAGCATGAGGAATGAGCGCTTTAACCACTAGGCTACCCCACCGCCCCAAAAACAAACATGAAAAGAATTTATAACAAGTTACTGAGTGCAAAGGACAGGCATGCCAATTAGTTTACATACAATACCATATTTGATAATGCTGAATGAGTGTTTACAAAGTTTGTATTTGTTTGTTTGTATGTTTGTATATCCACGTTGCATGATGGACAGGGGGTGATTTCATAACCCCACAACAGTTCTTCTCAACTACACAAAAATAATGACATCCAAAACAATTTCAAATGAGTGGGATATTGACAACCAGTTCAATTTGCTCCTGGAAGGAGAAATAATGGAAGAATATTTTTTGTAGTAAGCAGTTCATCTTTAACCAGAATAAATGAACTGTGGAAACTTGATACAGCACCTGAGTAAGAGAGACTTGCCAATGAGCAGCATCTTACATCCAGTAAGTGAACATTGTCAACAGCTGGCAGTGCATGTGATACAACAGTATACAAAGTAAGTCATCTATTCATGTATTTTATCCTCTGTATGATACACTACATAACCTTTAGATACAGGGATATTTTTAAAGTTTTTATCTGCTGCTTGAGAGTCGGGTACTGTCAGTTTTACCAAGACTTCAGTTTTCATGAGTAGACCGGGTGTAAGGAAGAACCATCTCATTATTTAAAATGCATGATATCTCATAAACTAATATCATAATGAGTTTGAGTGAGATGTGTGTGTGAGCTGTCTGTCAGTCTGTTTCATGTGCATGTCAGTCTGTGTGTGTGTGTGTGTGTGCATATGTGTGTGCATCTCTCTCAGAAAAAAGTCTCTCTCTCTCTCTCACACTTCTGACTCAGTAGTTTACACCATATTATTTACTTCAACCTTGATGGAAGAATGTATACGCAGTGTGAATGGTAGGAACTATGCATGACTCATGGCTACAGATATAAAGTCACACAACAGTTCATCACACACATCCCTTGCAGGGATCTAGCTAGGTCTGTTCAGAGAGGCTAAATTCAGCCCAGTCTCTGTAGCATATGTCAATATAAGGCCAAATAAAAAAAATGTTGTGTTTCCGATTACACCTCTTTAAAATTTAATTTTTTTAGAAGTAAAGTACAAACTAATAACACATTTATCAATTTTTAATTGTTTATTAAATCAATTTTTCGGCCATCATATTGACTGATGTCCGCCGGTGCCGGGAAAAAACAATGGTATCTAAAAGCTTATTTCATTCATACCGCTCAGTGTTCACGAATGGTGTTTCAAAGTAACAAGACATTGGGTCCTGTAAGTTTCAGATGTCTGTCTGACCCATTGAAAACTCAGAGGACCCATAGAATAGAATTAAATAAACATTTCAGATTTAACATTTCTCATAATTGGCATTGAAATTGTTAACAAACATAAGATTTATAAACAGCAAATAAGTGTCATATGTCACAACTTCAGTCAAAGTCACTGTGAAATATACAGCCAGACATTGGGGCCGGATTTGTCAGAGGGTCAGACGCTATTCGTGAACACTGACCGCTAAAACAATTAGGGTCGGCACTAGAATTCGAGGGTCGGTTGGGTAATCAGAACCACAACAATTTTTTTAGGCCTAATTACCACATTCATGTTAATGTATGTAACTGATAACAAGCTTTATGGCTTTGAAGAGGTAACCTGCATTTTACTGACAAAAGAATCAATAAATAGGAACAAGTCATACAAAATAATAAAATGCAATCTCAAAACACAATGTTAAAATAGGTTTGATTTGAGGAAAAATAAGGACACATTTTCTTCTTGTTCTCTTATGCTTGGTTTTATATTACTGCAAAATAAAATACATTCTAAATATACATTGTCTTTGTTAAAAGAACTCATATTTTTTTAAAATACCATATTTATTTCCATTATATTGACCTTCAGGGGATAGATATTTCATAACCCTGGACATATTCCTGCCTTACTAAGATCCATGAAAGAATATTAGAAATATGGGTCAGTTGCAGGATAACTTAATGACTGCTAACCCTGAGACTCTCAGCTCTGTGGAAGTGGTTTTAAAACTGCAATCACAGATAATGTGGTAAGTCTGCGTTAGATGTACTGATGTTCCCTAGGCCTAGCAGCAGGTTACAGATACTAGCTGTGGAGTCTGAGATAAAGTGACTCATTGTAGATAGACTAAGATACAGTAAAAGCTTGGGTTTCATATATGCTGGAGTGAGTGAGTATAGTTTTACATCGCTTTTAGCAATATTCCAGCAATATCATGGTGGGGACACCAGAAATGGGCTTCACATATTGTAACCATGTGGGGAATCAAACCCGGGTCTTCAGCATGGCAAGCGAAAGCTTTAACCACTATGCTACCCCACCACCCCTTATATATGCTGGAACACAGCTCAGCTGAATCGGGAGGATACTGTCAAATGAGGAAATACAGTATTGACAGTGTTTGAAATAAACGAGGGCTCCTTATGGCAGAGGACATCACCCTATTTCCTCAATCAAACAAGGAAATAGCATTCTAACCCCCCACCCCCCCAGCAGGGGGCAAAGGTCACCTGCTCGCTTAAGGCACTGACATTCTGCATCCCTTCAACACAAACGATTCAGCATGAGTTTGAATCCTGTTCAAAACCAATCATAATTGGGGTTTGCCTGTACCATAACCTTGCTTGTGGGTTTCACAAAAGTGGTATACATCTGAGTTCAACATCTGACTTTAAACTTTACTGCCACATCAAACTGTAACACATTATAACTTATATAACTAGAATACTGTTCGAAATAAAGGGGGCTTGCATAGAACTTGTATTGTTAATCTCAAAGCAACGTTCAGCAATCTTTTTGGTCAGCTGATTAACAAAACTGACCAATGTTAAAAAAATTGGACAAAGAAATCAAAATTAAATTACCTTTCACAAATATAACATAGCTGTTCCTGTAATATTTATGCCTAAAATAGCTAAAAGAATATACAAGTTGATAATTTCAGAAACTTAAGATGCTAATGGGTGGACAAATAGAACGCCAGTTTTGGTCTCATCAAACCATTTCCGACCAGCACTCAACTACAAACATTCATTGGGTTTTCATTCATTAACAGTGAAATGTGTTGCAAACCTAGAACTAAAGAGCATCAAAGGTTTATTAATATCATGATTCAGTATGGACAATAGTCTATTTACTGTGCAGAAAAATGGAAATATCTTATCATGATGGAGACAGTTCCTAATGACTTACAAATTAGTATTTTACTGCTATAAGATTTCTCACCAATTGGCCCCTGAGCTGACTCAGTCATTGGATTGTCTGGTCCAGACTTGATTATTTACAAATCACCAGTATATTGCTGGCTGTGGTGTTCACAAACTAGCTGAGAATATCAGCGATTTTGCTAAATAGGTGCACATGCTCTAAACTCTTCTAAAAACGAAATGAATCTTTACCAACTAATTGATAGCTTAAGGTGTGGTGACTTTGTTCACCTAATAAAACATGTCTTCCCTACCATAGTACCAACAAAGAAGAAACAAGACCATTTCATAGACAGAACAAAGTCAGAAGGCAAATTTGTGAAGGCACAGCCACTGAACAGACATATAAGCATGTCAATATGCACTGATTGATTCTTAGACACATACAATCCATAAATAGAGAGTAATTAACTTGGTCCAATTAGAGCATGAAGTAGCCTACAAGCTAAATAACAAATATGCTTATATCCATGTTGTAAGGGACCGTTCATAATTTATGGCTAAGTGGGGTGGTGATAATTTTTATGGAGAAGCTGATGATGTACAATGTGAATGACCCCCCACCCAAAAAAAAATATGTACAAAATAAGTGACCCCTTGCATGTCATGTACAAAATCAATGACCCCCCCTCCTCCCTTTCCCATAATTTCTAAGCATAATTTTAAACATATTAATTATGAACGGTCCCTAAAAGTAAGTACATTTCACTATCTGGCTGGGTTACACAGCCAGTATGGATTGGCAGCATTGTGAGTCATCACACATTTGTTACATTTTGTTACCATGGATACTGTAAAGGGAATATCAAGTATAATGCATTGATATCAAAATTGGAAAATCAAGTGTGATGCAGTTGAAAGATTCAGTAGTTTGGTTCTTCGTTCCAATGTAATATATACAATGGCTACATGCATAAATAAATTATTCGAAAAAAATTGAAGTTTTTGTTGTCTCAGAAGTATATTTATCACAGTATATCAGCTGATTTGTGTGTTTGTAACTGTTTTGTGGATCTGCTTTCAAAATATAACAAGCATGTTAGAATATACTTTGAATCGCAGCACTGCAATCATGACACCTTATCATTTCTTATCTAGCACTGAATTAGATATGTCAGTCTGACTGGCGTAGAAACTGTAAACATGCTGTATCATGAACTTTCCAGTTGCGATCGGTTTTGCCATTTTTAACAAAAACATAAAAACACATCCAGTAACTGTAATTATAAAAGTGGTCTAACATATAAATCTGTTTATCCAGGAATTAAAATGGGTCAATAATCTGATTAAGATCGGTGACCATAGTGATGTTATGTTGACAGTTTTGCAGGAACATGCAACAGTGTCATTTTTCGGTAATCAAACGTGTCATAAGTCTATCACTTGCATCGCGTGTTTTATAGACAGGAGTACAACCCAAATAAACCTAAGACACTTACGCAGAAAGGGGAGTGAAACTCGAAAAGTTAAAAAAATGTGTTTCGATGTGTGGATTATTGACAACTTAGTCATCAAAAAAGAATGTCTTACCTCCTTGCTTCTCCCTTCGGAGAAATTCGGCACACACTCGATAATTCTAGGCATTGTGTAGTTCCTGCTCCAGTAGTTCACCCCGGCAACCTATGCGATCGAATGTTGCCAAAAATTTTGATTGCAGGTATATAAGTTCTGTGACCGACTTCCCATGTAGACGATATGTGTAATTCGTCATCACGCTTTGCGCTTGTAACTGGGTGATTTGTGACGTTGCAGTTTATGTGCATGACGTATTGTTATCGGCCATGTTGCTTGTTTTCATGCCGGATGGGACTCCGAAAACGGGAATATTAATCTAAAAGTATGTCAATCAAGCCGTTATTTTCTTGCTAGATGCAGCATTCTTTAAACCCAATTAAATTACGAATTAATGCGGTTATTATATTGTTATTTTAAGATAGTATTGTGCATGAACACACCTGTCAAATTGCTTGCCTGTTGCTCGCAGGTGCTTGTTTGGAAATGCATAACTGTATAATAATTGAGCTTTCGGGCGTTATTATGCGCGCTTGTTCAGTTCTGTTTTTCAAAATAACCTGTACAGGCATTATAATTGTACTGTATCGTCTGGTGTGTGAGGAGGCTGCACGCTGTCATTGCATCTTATGGCCTTTAAACTGCACAGATTTGAATAAACAGTTCAAACTTGTGGAAGACGCTGAACATTATTTTTACTATTTTATGAGATGTTTATGTTACACGTTTGGATATGATGATACTATATACAACGCCTTATCGTTAAAACGTATGTATTCATCATTAGATTGTTGTCCGCACATTTCTGAAGTAATAGATCGATTGGGTAAAAGGAGAATACTCCATCATGTCCATATTTCGGATTTCTTCAGTAACTTCAAGAAAGAGTCAAACATTGAATATTTTGTTGTTTGGCTTGTTAGAAATCTGGCAGATGTCAGACAGTGTACCAAATCTTCCAGTACAGCCCACATTTTAATTTGTTATTTCACATTTGCAGTGTAACCTTTTCAGTAATTTTACCATGTTGTTACATACTTGTTGGGCCTCTAGAATCTGTTTAGCTTACCAAAAGTACAATTAGAACTAGATACATTGCAAGAAACAATATAAAGTATTGCTAAATACCCCCTTTGTCTGTTTGTTTCTTCGAGCCTTAGAATTAGTGATGTTAATGTTGGATGGACTATCCCAACTCTAGCTTTTGCATTTGGATCATGGAATATGAATAGTGCCAAATATATGCCCAAGCATTTCCCATACCTTTTTGTTTTTGGTGTTATCATGATACGTTCAAGATACCTTTTTTCAGAATTTGTTATAGATGATTTTAATTTAGGTTGCAGTTGCGTTCATTAAATGACGAATTCAGCATGGTCCGCACGGTGAAGAGACGGCAATCAACAGTGCGATGTTCCCAGCAGCTGCTGACGGCTGTGGCATACATTCGCCAGCAAAAACAGATCCCCAACATAGACCGTCTAACTCGCTACATGCAGAGGGAAAATGATATGCAGTATGGGGAGACCGTTCAACAGCTCAGCTATGTGGTCAAAGATGGCCTCTTGCTGTCTTATACAGCAGTCGGTTGTAAAGGATCCAAAACAGGGCTGGAACAAGAAGGATTTAGAATTCCAACAGATGATGACCAAGAAGAGGTAAAAACATTTTTTCATCATGTAGTAAATTAGACACAATTTTTTAAAGTTAATGATAACACTTGAAATAATAACAGTGCTTCATATTTCCAGGGTTGCTGTCCCGATACAAATTACCTCCAACTGCTGAGTTTACTCTGGCGCCACATGTCTTTTGACTCTGCCAATACCTGAAGGCATTTTCAGACTTTCTCTTACCTACGGACAATGACTGCCCATTGGTGTTTTTTAAGGCCTCCGTAACTTCTGCAATTCTATTGCAAGTCGTAGAACTCTTTGACCAAACATCTAAGCCAGAATCAGGTTTAGACATACATGTAGTCGACGGGACTAGAAAGTCTGCATGTCTGCATTGCTGGATTATATATACAGCTAGCTCATGCAGTGAAGCCACACATGACATGTTTGTATGTAGAACAAGGGAGATAATCGTTCATCCTCCCCACAATAACAAGTCCGGCAGATTTGCCAATGGTCCGATAGAAGTCTACAACCCACCGGCCCCAGTGTCTGACTGCATATTTCACAATGACTTTGACTTAAGTTGTTATATGTGACATGTGACACTTGTTTGCTATTTATATATCTTATGTTTGTTAATAATTTCAATGCCAATTATAAGAAATGTTAAATCTGAAATGTATGTTTAATTTTATTCTATGGGTCCTGTGAATTTTCAATGGGTCAGACAGACATCTGAAACTTGCAGGACCCAATGTCCTGTTACCTTGAAACACCATTCGTGAACACTGTATTGGTAGCAGAACGTGTTATGAATGACAATGTTCATGTTCAAATTGTATGAAGAGAGTAATTTTCCCTCAGGCTAATAGAATTAGGATTTGTTCATGATTTTACAAAAGTTTGCCTGGACATTCTATCAAAATGTCAAATAGGCCAAATAAAAAAAATGTTGTGGTTCCGATTACACCTCTTTAAAATTAAGGGTAGGTAGGTCGGAATATATTTTTTGCACAGCTACTTTTTTAGAAGTAAAGTACAAACTAATAACACATTTATTAATGTGTAATTGTTTATTCAATCAAGCTTGCGGCCGTCATATGGACTTTCTCTATCAGAATGACCAATATCTGTTGGTGCCGGTGAAAAAATAATGGTATCTGCAAGCATATTTTATTCATTCCTCTTAAAAAAATAGGGTCGGCACCAGAAATCAAGGGTCGGTCGGGTAATCGGAACCACAACAAAATATTTTTTAGGCCTTATCAAAATGCGTTTTCAATCTCAGTTATTTTGCAAGGTCAGGCATTTTACACAAAATGTCTAGAACAAAGGAGTTTTAATACATTTTGCTTCGTAACCAAGTTGTTAAAAAAACATATCCTGAAGATATCTTTTAAATTGTTAGCTGGGGTAAACCAGTGGTTAAAGCATTCAGTTCCTCACATGAGTACAATGTGTGAAGCCCATTTCTGGTGTACCCCACATGATATTGCTAGAATATTGCTGAAAATGGCGTAAAAACTTACTTGCTCACTCACATTTGTATGAGTTGGGCCCCCGGGGTGGGTTGTTGTTTAACTCCACAATATTCCAGCTATATGGCAGCAGTCTGTAAATAATCGAGTCTGGTCCAGATAATCCAGTGATCAACAGCATGACCATCAATCTATGCAATTGGGATACAATGACATGTCTTTGTGTGCTGGCTTTTGGTGCCTGACTCAGAGGGTGTGGGTTCGAATCCCGGATGGGACTCGATCCAACAAATGTACTAGAACGTTACTTTACTAAGAAAGTGTAATCCCAAATCAGGGCTCAATTTAGTGCTTTGTTACTTGCACTGGTGCAACCGAGTATTACAAAGTGCAACCTAGTTCAGTTTTTGAGTGGGTACACTTCTGAATAAAACATGTAAATGATTCAATAGCATTTTTCTTTCATTACATATTGCAATAAAAGCAGTGCAACTTTAATTTGGCTGGTGCAACTAGGTTTTTATCTTAAGTTGCACATGGTGCAAGTAGGGTCACATCTCTTAAATCGAGCCCTGCAAATATAACATATGTTATGATGACATGTATCAATCAATTCAGGGAGCCTGACCACCCGATCCTGTTAGTCACCTCTTATGACAAGCACTGGTTGCTGAAGACCAATTCTGACCTGGATCTTCACGGGTCACATTTGTATGAGAAGAGCATTGACTGTTTCAGGAAAATGACCACGACTGGTACTGCTTCGAGTGTCACCAGCCAGGGGAGGTGGTCATGTGTACCGACTGCTGGAGGGTCTTTCATCCAATCTGTACAAGGGAGGATGCATCAGGCACCAAATTCTGCTGCTCAGTCTGCAAGGTGAGCAGCAAAGTCATGGAAAGCTGTAAGGTCTTGCAGACCGTATCAAGTGTCAAATTGCTTTTCTTAATCCATAACCACAAACAGATTGTTTTTAATATTTTTAGGTTTCTTACTTTTATGGATCAAATTGCTAAAGATGATCAGTATGAATTTCTGGTACTAACCGATAACTTGATCAGTTTCTTTTGCTCAATTACAAAATTTGGATTTCAAACAAAATGAAGTGATTTTCTTATCTTTGATAAGATACTATGTAAGATATTAAGTTGAACTTTGTCATGTTGATAGGATGTCGTTTATGCAACTCTGTACGTGATGTACCTTATTTGTTACAGCTCCTGTAACAAATATCTAAATTAATGAACAGCGTGATTATTTGATAAGTGCCAATGTCCTGTCAGTGTGTTGTACTGTATCATATATTTTGAGAGCTGTATGAAATGTCCTACATGATACAATATGCCAGTGATTTCAAATCAGATCTTTATTTTAGTCATTTGCTAAAACTTGACTCCCACCCATATGCTTAATCACATTGCTAATTGTCCCCTGCATCTTCCTCATACAGAGGAGGCGGTGGGGTAGCATAGTGGTAAAAGAGTCAGCTCATCACACCAAAGACCCGGGTTAGATTCCCCACATGGGTACAATGTGTGAAGCCCATATCTGATATCGCTGGAATATTGCTAAAAGTGGCGTAAAACCAAACTCACTCACTTCTAATACAGTGGTAACTATGTTCAAGCCCAGGGTGAACATGGTGAAGAGAAGTTTAACATCACAGTATGCTCATCGTCATTGTTTCAGCCATGTTGAAGCAAGTGGTGAAAACTAAAGATGGAATTAATTTAATTAATTAGAATTTGGGGGGAGGGTGGGTTTGATGAGAAAGAACATGATTTGATCTCCAAACAGGCAGAAAAAAATCCAAAATTTAAAGGATTATCAAATTTGAAAGAGCAAGTGAAAATACTGTTTGATGATCAAAAAATAATATCTGCTTGACAATGTGGATAGCGTGTTCTTGGTGTCTCTAGCCATCAGCTAGAAGATACTGCAAAGCACCACAAAATAGCATACTTATTTGCCTCCTAATACTATGATGTACTTTATGACAGGAGAAGCTGATTTGAAATGGAAGTTAATGTATGCCTGCTATGGACATTGGCACTTGTGTTTATATATACATTTATACATATGTATTGTTTCATATTCATAAGCAAATCCACATAAAAGCCTAACCTAGTTCTTACAATGCTCACTCCTCTCAAATGCTATTTTCAAGTCCAGGTGAAATAATGTTCCACAAACCTGTGATGTGAATCTTATTATCTTGCATGTTTTTGTTTTATCTAAACTATTAACCTCTTGTTTTCTTTGCAACAGGAGACTGAGGTAATGTGAAATATTTGCAATGCCTTGTTTCCATTTGCTATAGTCTTGTCTGTCCCTGTCTGTCATTTTGTTCATGTGAAGTTTAGCTGGTTGTGTTTTGGGATTGTCAAATTTGGTACTAACTTTAATGTATAAACCCCTTTGAAAATATACACACATATTATACCATGAGTGCAGTGTTTGAAGTCAGGGGAGTCCTGGATTCTATGAGATTAGTTCCTTTGTTTGAAATGACAAGATTTATCAACCTCCTGAATTCATCACCTTTTACATAACGGTTATGCCAGTAACTTCGTACACTTCAAACACTGCATTGTATTCACCAACAATTGCAATGCTTGAAACAATGGCTAAATCTCAATTTTCTAAATATTGTTCTGTAAAAGCACACTAAATCTTGTCTTTTATTTTTTCTCACAACTCCTGACAAATATTGTTTTCATCTGATAATATCATCATCATGATAGTTTGTATGGAGAAAAATATGGTAAAACATAGATTTTAAAACATGGAAATGGCTTACTAATGGTATTAAGAAACAGCTGCAAGCATGTATGACTTATTAATGGCATGGCAGTAGAACAAAGTTACAAACATGGGTATGACTTAGTAACAGTAATAGGAAGTGACAGAGGAACATATACTTCAAATGTGGATAAAGGCTGCGACACACATGGGTTGGCACATCATAACAACCTGCCAATTTTCATACATTGTGTAACATGTTCGGTGGTTGTAATGAACATGCTCGACTACTTCTCACCACGATTCGATCTGCTGATCTCATGATATCTCGCAGTATTTTGTTTCCATGGTATCAAAATGTCTGCAGCTCACTCAGTAGCAGTTATCTGCTGCGCAATACTATGTGAAGAAAACGGCAATGCCCAAGCAAAGAAAAAGAGAAGTTGTTGGACGAAAGATTGGATTCTCCGTCATGAACATGCACAGAGTTCAGTATGCAACCATCTCATTAAAGAACTTGTGACACAATCGATGCGGGTTCGAGCAGTCGATTTGTACTTGTTGTTGAATTCGATTAATCACTTGAACGATATGACTCTGTCAAATTCGGCATATCCATTCAACAGGCCGACCCTGTGAGTCCGCCCTTACATTAGTAACAAAACGACAGTAGAACATGGATATTTCAAGCATGGAAATGACTTAAGTATAGTAAAATATAATAACAGTAGGACATAGATATTTCAAACATGGAAATGAATTCCTTGCGGTAAAATAACAGTAGAACATGGATATTTCAAACATAGAAATGAATTACTTAAGGTAAAATAAAATAACAGTAGGACATAGATATATCAAGCAAGGAAATGACTTACCTATGGTAAAAATGGTTATTACAAATCTCCTTAATGCTTCATTATGTATTATGAAATTCAAGTGTTAAACATAATTCCTCCAACAAAGTATTAGCCATTGGGAACAGAGTACTTTGCAACCATATGCACTTCCTCCAACAGCCATTCACCCAGCTCATCTACTTTGCATGCCCTTACTGGTCTGTCAAAACTGCCCCTCAATATACACCATCTTCATGACTTTGCCATGGTTTCTTCAAATGCATTGCTGCAGTTTCTTTGAGAAATATATTTACATTATGATTGTTTACTAACCATCATTCTATTTATCACCAATAACTGCACATTTGCACTTGCCTGTATAGTGGTGAAGTAGTCCTTGTCAAGTGGGAGTTATGTTCAGTGCCCTAGAAATGAAATATTAGTCTTGGTGGTCAGACTAAGTAGGTGTTTACTGGCTGGTTGCTGTGTTTTGTAAGCAATACCTCTAGATGATGTGTACAGATATTGTTCTGTCTATATGACAGGGAACCTCTGCACATGTAGTTTGTGGTACCTTGTGGTAACTAATGTTCACTGGGCCAGACATTTTGTTTTGTTTGTTTTATGTAGTTTGATAGAGTAAAAGTAAACTGAATTTGGTCAGTTTGATTGTTTTATAAAAATAATTGTACAGAATCTTTCAAATCATCTTCAAATGTGATTTGGATCAGTGAGTGATATTGTTTTTTAGTTAAGCCCTGGTTTGAGTGCTTATGAACATAAAGAGATTATATGTGTAATATCTGACGGTTTCTTTTTATTGTCATTTCTATTTTCAAAGTGGTAAAATTAAATCCTTGTCATTCTGATTTTATTTTATTGTTTATTTAAATTTTTAAAATTAGTGTTATGATCTGCAGATGTGTAAACCTAGCAACAACAAAAAAAGGAAGGCCTTCATTTCTGAATATTAGCTACCAATTACAGGTAGCCACATGTTTTGTTTGTGTCGTGTTTTGAATTTACAGTGGTGACATTATGGTAGGAGCTGGCTGGTAACATCTAACGGTTCTAAATCATATTATGAATGCATGATGGGAGATCATGGTGTACCTTTTAGCATACAAAGGTGGGGATATTTGGTCATTTGCTTGTGCTTATATTGGGATTGCAGTATTATGTCTGAACAGACAGTGACACATTCCGTATCAGGATTAAGAATTTTGGGTTTGCCATTTAAATTTAAATGTAAATCATCATACCTGTAGGTTTTCAATACCAAATCCTTACAAACAGAGCATGTCATTTTGAAGAAATTATTGGTGGTAAATAAGATCAAACTAAGAATAGACTATATATTGGTGTAATGTCAAAGGAAGTAAATATTACGGTGTGATAAAAACAACTCTCACAGTCTCTCAGTCCTTACCAGTTATACAGAGTTGTAGATGTGATTGCTACAGCTGACATGTATGGTAGCAGAGAGATTTTATTATGTTCATGTAGCAGTTTGAGCAGAGTAAGCTATTCATTTTTTGAGGGTGTATGAGATATTTATGTTGTCGTCATTTTTCCAGGCAGGTAAAAAGAGAAACAAAATCAAAAAGAAGCTGCTCAACACTTTACTGAGCTACACTGTGCTACGTCTCAAAGAGAAGGTAAGCCAAACGCCGTTAGTTAGTCTTACCTCAGCAAAATTTATCCTTGTGGGGATTGACTGCCTCCGTGGTGTAGTGGTTAGAACGTCCGCCTGGAAAGCGGAAGGTCGCGGGTTCGATCCCCGACCGCGTCATACCAAAAGACGTTAAAATATGGTACTTGTTGGTACCTCCTTGGCGTTTGGCATTAATGGGTACAACAAGGACTGGTCGGCTCGGAGTCAGTATAATGTGTCTGAGTGGGGTATTCATGCTTCATTGCGGCATGGTATCTCAGTGGGCTAGCACTATAAAACCAGCTTCAGTCTGGGCTAGTACAAGCAGTCGCACTTACACATACACACGCATGCACGTCGTCATATGAGCGAAATATTCTCAAGTACGACGTAAAACCCAATTTCACCTCACCTCACCTTGTGGGGATTGCAGTTTCAATATGTTTCAGGTAACCTTTGCTTATAGTAAGAAGTGACCAAATGGACTTACTGGTTAGACAGTGAGTGATTTGGTGGTCAGACTAATTGACGTGGTTCAACAAACTGACCTATCGGTCAGAATAAGTGACCAATTGGTCAGACTAAGTGACTCAGTGGTCAGACTAAGTGACTGTATAGTCAGACAAGTGATTTTGTGGTCAGACAAGTGATTTTGTGGTCAGACAAGTTACTGGGTGGTCAGACAAGTGATTTTGTGGTCAGACAAGTGATTTTGTGGTCAGACAAGTTACTGGGTGGTCAGACAAGTGACTTTGTGGTCAGACTAAGTGACTGGGTGGTCAGAATAAGTGACTGGGTGGTCAGACTAAGTGAGTGGTCAGACAAGTTACTGGGTGGTCAGACTAAGTTACTGTGTGGTCAGACAAGTGACTGGGTGGTCAGACAAGTGACTGGGTGGTCAAACAAGTGACTGGGTGGTGAGACAAGTGACTGGGTGGTCAGACTAAGTTACTGTATGGTCAGACAAGTTACTGGGTGGTCAGACAAGTTACTGGGTGGTCAGAATAAGTGACTGGGTGGTCAGACAAGTGACTCGGTCAGAATAAGTGCCTGGGTGGTCAGTCAAGTGACTTTATGGTCAGACAAGTGACTGTGTGGTCAGACAAGTTACTGGGTGGTCAGAATAAGTGACTGGGTGGTCAGACAAGTGACTTGGTCAGAATAAGTGCCTGGGTGGTCAGTCAAGTGACTTTATGGTCAGACAAGTGACTGGGTGGTCAGTCAAGTTACTGGGTGGTCAGACAAGTGACTGGGTAGTCAGACAAGTTACTGGGTGGTCAGACAAGTGACTGGGTGGTCAGACAAGTGACTGGGTGGTCGGAATAAGTGACTGGGTGGTCAGAATAAGTGACTGGATGGTCAGACAAGTGATTTTGTGGTCAGAATAAGTGCCTGGGTGGTCAGACAAGGGCCTGGGTGGTCAGACAAGTGACTTGGTGGTCAGACAAGTGACTTTGTGGTCAGACAAGTGACTGTGGTCAGAATAAGTGACTGGGTGGTCAGACAAGTGACTGGGTGGTCAGACAAGTGACTGGGTGGTCAAACAAGTGACTGGGTGGTCAGACAAGTGACTGGGTGGTCAGACAAGTGACTAAGTGACTAGGTGGTCACACAAGTGACTAAGTGACTGGATGGTCAGACAAGTGACTTGGTGGCCAGACAAGTGACTAAGTGACTGGGTGGTCACACAAGTGACTAAGTGACTGTGGTCAGACAAGTGACTGTGGTCAGAATAAGTGACTGGATGGTCAGACAAGTGACTTGGTGGCCAGACAAGTGACTGGGTGGTGAGACAAGTGACTAAGTGACTGGGTGGTGAGACAAGTGACTAAGTGACTGGGTGGTCAGACAAGTGACTGGGTGGTCAGACAAGTGACTGGGTGGTCAGACAAGTTACTGGGTGGTCAGACAAGTGACTGGGTGGTCAGACAAGTGACTGGGTGGTCGGAATAAGTGACTGGGTGGTCATAATAAGTGACTGGATGGTCAGACAAGTGATTTTGTGGTCAGAATAAGTGCCTGGGTGGTCAGACAAGGGCCTGGGTGGTCAGACAAGTGACTTGGTGGTCAGACAAGTGACTTGGTGGTCAGACAAGTGACTGGGTGGTCAAACAAGTGACTGGGTGGTCAGACAAGTGACTGGGTGGTCAGACAAGTGACTAAGTGACTAGGTGGTCACACAAGTGACTAAGTGACTGGATGGTCAGACAAGTGACTAAGTGACTAGGTGGTCACACAAGTGACTAAGTGACTTGGTGGCCAGACAAGTGACTAAGTGACTGGGTGGTCACACAAGTGACTAAGTGACTGTGGTCAGACAAGTGACTGTGGTCAGAATAAGTGACTGGATGGTCAGACAAGTGACTTGGTGGCCAGACAAGTGACTGGGTGGTCAAACAAGTGACTGGGTGGTGAGACAAGTGACTAAGTGACTGGGTGGTGAGACAAGTGACTGGGTGGCCAGACAAGTGACTAAGTGACTGGGTGGTCAGACAAGTGACTAAGTGACTGGGTGGTCAGACAAGTGACTGGGTGGTCAGACAAGTGACTGGGTGGTCAGACAAGTGACTAAGTGACTGGTTGGTCAGACAAGTGACTTGGTGGCCAGACAAGTGACTTGGTGGTGAGACAAGTGACTGGGTGGTCAGACAAGTGACTAAGTGACTGGGTGGTCAGACAAGTGACTAAGTGACTGGTCAGACAAGTGACTGGTCAGAATAAGTGACTGGGTGGTCAGACAAGTGACTTGGTGGCCAGACAAGTGACTGGGTGGTCAAACAAGTGACTGGGTGGTCAGACAAGTGACTGGGTGGTCAGGCAAGTTACTGGGTTGTCAAAATAAGTGACTTCGTGATCAGAATAAGTGGCTGGATGGTCAGACAAGTGACTGGGTGGTTCATCTTGGTTGATTGCATGTCATCATGCGCTGATGATGTTGGATGTAATATTATGGACAATAGATCTGTCTTGTCCAGAATTGATTATTTATATCCCTTCTTATAGCTGGAATATTGATGAATGTTGGTGACTGTAGTTATAGGAAGGCGTTTCCTATTCTCGGGGTACTTACCGATATCGGCTGAAAAAATAACACAAACAATTCTTATCGTATGAATGCTTGTTGTTATTAAATGAAGGGCCTTCTCCTCTAACATCTGCATCTATCAGCTGCTGGATCCATGAGGTGAATTACCAGTCGTGTGCCCGGTGATAAACAATGCCATCCGCCATTGACGAAATGAGGCTTCACCTATTCTCGCGGTATTACCAGGAATTAACGTTATTGAGTGTATGTAAGAGTCATCCTGCCGGAAAGGGCGGGAAAAAGTAATGATATGTCAAAGTTGGTATAAACTCCCCAATATTCGTGACACAGCAAGATTTTGATCATTCACTGACTTGGTCCACTTCCTAGTTACCAGTCGGTGATGTAAACAACCGCTAAGTGTCGCGCATTGGCGATTTTGGCGGAAAACGCATTTACCGCGAGAATAGGAAACCCGCGAGAATAGGGGACGGACCTTTATATGAAGTTTTGCATGGACTTATTTTAGGAAACATTTTAAGCTGATTAAGCTGTTTCTTGAATGTAAATGTGTATACAACGTGCTATATGTCACTCCAGTAATGCTTCTTGAGCATGTGTGGCCTTTCCCCACTGTTCACAAACTACAGTAGTACAGCTAACTGTTGCAGACAAGAGAACTACATCGAATTGGCCACACAGAGGAGTTTAACCGTTTCCTCTACATGCCCATGGATCTCAACACCATGGAAACCAAGGTTCAGGCCAAAAAATACAAGTGCCTTGAGGAGTTCCTAGCAGATGCCCAAAACGTGCTTCATAATGTCTTTCTATTATATGGAGGTGAGTTGAAATATGTTTTAATATGGGGCAAAAGTCACCTAACATGGAAACAAAATAGTGAAGACCATTTCCAATATCCAATACCTTTACTTTTCTGACATATAGCAGAAAATGAACAAAATATTCCCTCATTAAGTAAGCTTAACATGCAGTGTTGGTTGCATCCTTCTTGGCGTGTTATGCTGACATACTGTTAATGGGGGCGGTGGGGTAGCCTAGTGGTTAAAGCGTTGGCTCGTCACGCCGAAGACCCGGGTTTGATTCCCCACATGGGCACAATGTGTTAAGCCCATTTCTGGTGTCCCCCGCTGTGATATTGCTGGAATATTGCTGAAAGCGGCGTAAAACTAAAACTCAGTCAGTCAGTCAGTCAGACATACTGTTAATGAAATATTCTTCAAAGCAGTGTGGGAGAAAAACCCACTCTGTTTCTAATGGAGACTCGGTAGACAGAGGTATCCAGAACCATATCCTTGTGGTAAAAGATGACTCAAATGAGGAATGAGAGACTACTAAATAATTGCCTGGTCATTTTGAAGAACGATTTTCTAAAGTAGCGTATTTCCATTTTCAACTTGGCCAAATTATTGGAAGATGTTATCACAGATTATTGGAAGATGTTATCACAGATATTTGTTCAGGGGTTTTTCAGATGTTGTGAAGTTTTTGCTTCAGGTTAGCATAAATATATAATCAGCCTTTCTGTTTGTTTACAGATGAAAAAGGTGGAATGGCTGAACTTGCCAGAATAATGATAAGAGATTGTAAATATGATGTAAGTAGCCCATCACCATTATAATGTGTAGTCATTTAAAAGTCACCCTAAGTACCTATACTAAGAGTACAGGTGGCCAAGTCATACACAGTGTAGTTTGTTGTGCAGAGTTATGTCCCTTAGTTACAACATATACCTGTTATTGCGCCAGATTTACCCAAACAAGGTTTCTTCATTTGTCAGCTCCAAGACCTTACACGTGGGTGTCACAAAAGTAATAAACATGGAAGACTGGCATCACTGAAAAACAGTAACTGTGAAATACAGTTCAACATGTTCATGGAATTGGTATGGTTATCCCACACCAGTTCTGTGTTGTCAGTGACACAAGTTGGCGGAATTGCCCTGTACAACCCCTTTGATGAGTACCGGTGATTTCACTGCTTGCTTAATGATATGTTTGTAGCATCATGTCATTCAAACCAGCCCTAAACATTAAGGTTTGGGTGTGAACAGTTCCTGGGTATATATTAATATCTAGTAATGGATAAGACTTGATAATTAAGAATGCCTTGCGCTCTGCATTATATTTGTGTCTTCTTACACAGAAACTACAGCTTAGCTCCATTCATATGTAGCACAAACAGCAAAACCGTTATTACCCTGGTCAGTGGGTTTGTGTGCAGTTGATTTTCATTCTCAGCTCCATGGAAAGTAGACAACTCACATCATCTGATTTGTCACCTGTTCATTGTATTCTGAATCATATGCCACCATTGATTGTTTATTATCCCTCCCTCCCTTCATCATTTTCTTTAAGCAAATTCAAGGTTGAAGCTTTAATTATGTTTTGCTTGTTTTTCAGTTGGATGAAATTCAGCAGTGTCCTAATTGTTATTATTTATCAAATGCCAAACCTCCAAACTGGTTTTGTCAGCCATGTGTAAGTATCAGTCGCATAATGATTTCTGTAAATTGTACCTGTCTAACCTTCCAAACTTTACCCCAGTTCACAGTACCGTTATTTATGTTGTTTATCATTATATCTGAACCTGCTACAATGGGGCAAATGGCTGGCCAGTCCTCTTGGGCACTGCAGCTTGCCCATCAAGTTGCTTCTCCAACCTAGCCCAGAATCCTTTAATACTAATAGTGCGTTCAGTTCCTAGAATTGCCCTGATTGTGACTCTCATTCCCTGAATCGCCCTGATTGTGGCTGGGATTCTCTGACTTGCCCTGATTGTGACTCTCATTCCCTGAATCGCCCTGATTGTGGCTGTGATTCTTTGAATTGCCCTGATTGTGACTCTCATTCCCTGAATTGCCCTGATTGTGGCTGTGATTCTTTGAATTGCCCTGATTGTGACTCTCATTCTCTGAATTGCCCTGATTGTGACTCTCATTCCCTGAATCGCCCTGATTGTGACTCTCATTCTCTGAATTCCCCTGATCATATTTCTTGGTTTGTCAGCACCAATATCTGTGCACATAGGTTCCAACAAAGTGTAATTCATGTAAAACCTGCATAACTTCCTCCTACCATATCATCATACCTGATATCTACACTATAACTGATGAATGATATAACATGTACTCAAGCAATTAATAATTGAGACTTGTTCCAATATTCATATCTCAAAACATGTTGGGTCTTTTTAAATATTTTTTAATCGAGTTGTGTTGAAACCTATTGACTTCTGTATTCTTTTCATAGAGATCGTCCTTGGGGTACATATATGCATTTTCTGCGACTGAAAATGTCGTGACAGTTGTATCAATGTTTTAATAAAAATATTGTACCATAAATAAAAATCTTTTTTATTTATTATAGGGCCCCCACCACGTGGAGTTACCTCCCTGCTACGCATGCGCAGCCAACCAGAGGCGTGTTCAGAACCGCGAGTGCCCGCGAACGCTAGCGAGCGCTCGATCCTGAACGCCTGTGCCCGCTCGAGTGCCCGCGTGCACGCAAATCATTCTCACAGCTGCCTCGCCAAGCGAACCAAGATGGCGATCATGTTTAATGTCATTCGTCACCACTCGCCCCTTTCCGTAACCTCCAAAAAGAAGACATGGAGGATATTTTGTTAATGTTGTCAAATAAAATGTATATGTCATCGAGTGGTCTGAAAAAGTTGATATGTTCACGAGTTACGTAACCATTGACAATATTAACAAAATATTCTATTTATTATATTTTGATCATTGTTTATAAATGATCGAGACATAGATTTCGTGGTTCGCGTTTAGTAGTTCCAGGCAAAGTGATATTCTACTCAGTGAAAAATGACAATACCATTTTTATTTTCACCAATATTTACATTTTTCACCCTTAAGAATATAATAAAGAAGCTATTACGGCTTGTCCCGAACAACACGAGTCGTTCACGAATGGTTTATTGTAACCCAAGCCAGCGTCCGTTCAGGGCGATCGCGAGTGCTTCATGGAGGCATTAGATGCGAGCGCCGGTTCTGAACTGAACACTCTGGTAAGCACCTAGGCCCGTATCACCATTCCTTCTGCTGTCACTGTAGCATTCCAACGCGTTATTTACCCGAGAGTTACTAGCTTATTTACTTCTTGTCGAAGAATGTCTGAGACTTCAACAACTGTATGTATGGTCTTTATTCGTTTTGAGAAACATTTTATGGACTTGGCAGTCTGTTATTTCTCATTTATGTGACTTTGTATTAACCTTTTACGCTAGCTTTCCTGTGGTTTACGCACGTGTTGCTATTCCATGGCGGGAAGTTTAGCGTGCCACGTGGTTGTAATATTGCGTTATTAACCAAGTATTTCATGTCGCGTTGTCGCATTCACATAATTTTCAATGTTTTGTATGTGTATATTTATGCTGTTGTGTTACTCCGTTAGCTACATGCTTGCATGTTTGCTTTCAGGCGTTTTCGGGTGTGCTGCCTGCGGGCAAAATATTCCCCATTCTGATAAGCATGACAAATTCTTATGCTGAGAAGGTAGGGCATAACCCTGACATCTGTGAGTTGTGCATGGGCAGCTGACTTCCTATTTTATGAGGAATTGCATGAGGCGGGAGGGGACTTGACCCAGGAGGTTCCCCCGTCCAAGGCCAAAAAGGCTAAACAAACTCAATCTATGTCTACTTCGCATAGGTCGCACTCTCCGTCTCCATCCAGTGGTTTTGATATCTCACTTATCACACAATTGTTTCAGCAGCATATGGACTCCGTGAAGTCCCTCGTTCACGAGTCTGTTGGAGGTCTCTGTCAGGAGTTCCTCGCCCACTCTGATCGGGGAACCGAGAGTCCAGGGTGGGATCGCCGAGCTCGGCTCGATCCCTTGGCCTGGAGGCGTCTGTCGATCCTTTGCCTTTGGCTTCGGGTCCAGACGCCTCAGCTGCCCCGGAGGGAGAGGGTTCGCTCCCAGTCCCTCTCTCTGTGTTGGTACAGGGTCCGTTGAGGATTCCTGGGGCTCCGGTTCCTGCGCCACCCCACCCCATGAGAGCGGAGGAGCCGGTTCTGCCCGGGCCTTCCTCACGTGTCTCGGGACCAGGGTTCGAGTGTTGTGTCGGTGTCCGGAGCTGAGAGTCCCTTCGGCTCTTCCCTTCCTGCGGCGTCTGTGGCTCGGCCTCCCACCGGGTCGGGGTTCGGCTCCTCTTCACGTGGAGATCCGAATTCTGACTCAGGCTCAGGTGCGGAGTCTATGGAGGTTGGGCAGGTCGAGGAGTCGGAGGGTACTTTCTGTTTTTCGTCGGCTTTCCGGGAGGTTAGGCAACGTATTGCCGAGTATATTCCCGAAGCCGCGGTGCCGACATGTCGCTCGGACTCGACTGAGTTCTGCCTTCCGGGTGAGGCGTTTGCCCCTAGGCAGCCCTCTCAGACACAGCTCCGTATATTGCCTTCCCTGGTGCAGGATGTGATGGATCCCATCCTGGTTGGTTCTCGCTTCCGGTTCGATCTACCCGAACTCGTTAAGAGGTATCAGCTGGGGGATGATTCTCTGTTCTTTGTGCCGGTTGTTGGGGCTGTCGCCGTGGGTCCGTCCCAGCCAGTTCATCTGCAGGGGGCCACTCACACACTCTTACCACATGTCCCAGTGGGAGGCCACCTCTCTCTATTCCTACCGGAGTGGGAGAAGGCTACCAGCAACACTTGGGTGCTATCTACCGTCAGTGTCGGACATCTACCACTGATGAAGCGAGGCCCGCCAGAGTTCACCGGCATAAGGCGCACTCAGGTGCCGTCATGTCCAGTCAAGGCGGGTATACTGCGCGACAAAGTTCAGGCTTTGCTGGACAAGTCCGCAATAGAGCACATACAACCGGGCGAGGAATTGGCGGGGTTTTATTCCACGTACTTCCTCGTTCCGAAGAAGGACGCCGGGTCCGTCCCATTCTCAACCTCAAAGGGTTGAATCGCATGTGATAGGTTCCATCCTTAAAGATGGAGACACTTCGCTCGGTGATCTCCTCTGTTCAGCCCGGCGATTGGCTTACGTCGATCGACCTAAAGAATGCGTATCTACATGTGCCAATTCATGCCTCGTTCAAGCAGTACCTCCGGTTCTCTTACGACGGGATGTGTTACCAATTCACGGTGCTCCCCTTCGGCATATCCACTGCCCCCAGGATGTTCACCAAGCTCATGTTAGTGCCAGCTACCCTCGCAAGGTCGCAAGGAAGGCGTTGTTACCCCTACCTAAACGACTGGTTGCTCTAACTCAGCCAGCGAGCCTAGATTCTACCCACACGGTGATAGACATTCTAGTTTGACTTGGGTGGATCATAAACCTCAAGAAATCCGACCTGGTACCCACCCATGACTTGGTTTTTCTTGGTGCGCGGTTCACAACTCACAAGGGTCTTGTCTCTTTGTCGCCCGACCGGGTCACCAGAGTATGGGAGATGGTGTCTTCGTTCCTCTCCTGGCCCCAGGCACCAGCGTGGACTTGGCTCCGTCTACTGGGTCATATGGCAGCAACTATCTCTGTCGTGTGGCGGGCGCGGTTGAGGATGCACCCTATACAGCAAGCTTTGGCGAGTCTGTGGGCTCACTCGGAGGACCTGGAGAAGTGCCTCACAGTCCCCGGGTGGTTGTCTCCTCACCTTCATCTCTCCAAGGGGTTCCCTTTGAAAATCCCGACGCCATCTCTTACAGATCAAACCAATGCGTCCCTCACGGGGTGGGGGGTGGGGATGTGTGTTCTGGGCAGTCTGTCTGTGTCCGGACTCTGGTCCGAAGTCGAGGCCTGCCTTCACATCAATGTCTTAGAACTGAGAGCTGTGCGGTTGGTTTTCGAGCACTTCCGGGAGCATGTTCAGGGCCAGGTGGTTCGTCTTCAGTTGGACAACTGTACGGCCATGACGTACATCCTGAAGCAAGGCGGCACGGTGTCCCTAGCGCTCCTTCGGGAGACGTGGGAATTTCTCCTCTGGTGCGACCAGTACGACTGTCAGGTGATTCTCCCGGGGCTGGAGAACGTGCGAGCAGACGTTCTCTCTTGCCGGATCCTGGTCCCGCATGAGTGGATGCTCGACCGGCAGATGTTCGGAGTTATCTCCCAGTTGTACAGATCGTTCCAGGTGGATCTGTTTCAGTGTTTGCGTCCGGCGGGACGAATCAGATACCCGTGTTCTGCACTCGAATACCAGACCAGAGGACGTTGGCTTCCGACACCTTCCTGCTGGATTGGACGGGCAAGGTGCTGTGGGCGTTTCTGCCACTCATTCTCCATGTCTTCTCCCAGCTGTCAACCCAGCCAGTTCGGTACTTTCTCACTCAGAACGGCGCGCCATACCCAAATCCAAGCATTCAGTAGGTGGCATGGCCTCTGTCAGGTCTAGCCTTGAAGCACGCGAAATTCCTGCAGCAGTTACAGACACAATTCTGGCTTGGAGGCGGGATTCCACAAACGTTTATGAGGATAGGTGGTCCCGCTATGCGCGCTGGTGTTCAGATAGGGGGATTGCAGATCTCTTTTCTGCGGATTTAGTCCGAGTATTGGAGTTTCTGCAAGCTTGTATGGAAGAAGGCTTGGCGGCTTCGACCATTCGTGGCTACTCCACCGCTATTTCCACTTTCCACACCCCTGTCGATGGTGCTCGTCTGGGGCAGCTCCCTCTTATGCAGCGCTTTTTAGCTGGCATGGATCGGGTTCGACCTGCTGTCAGGCGAACCAGCCCACCTTGGGATTTGTCAATCGTGCTAGATTGGCTGTCCGGTCCTACGTTCTCACGTCTATCGGCTATTTCCATTCAGCTGTTAACATGGAAGGCCGTATTTCTGGTGGCGGTAACATCTGGGCAAAGGGTTGGCGACTTACATGCTATGTCAGCAGACCCGGCGCTGACTGTCTTCCATCCAGATGGTGTCAGTATTCGCCTCCCGGATACTTACCGTCCGAAGATCGATCACACTTTCCATGTGACAGCTCCTATCGAACTCCTACTCTTACCCAGCCTTCCACAACGGGGACCTCTGCAACGAGCACTCGACCACTGGATGTCCGTAAGACCCTCAAGGTCTATATCAAACGAACACAAGGGATCCATACGGGTACCCATCTGTTCTGCTGTTACGGTGGCGGGAAGGCTGGCATGCCGGCTAGCAAACAGACCCTATCTCGCTGGCTTGTATCGGTCATTTGTGCTGCTTGTCAGGCTAAGGGCAAGCCTCCCCCTGAGGGGTTGAAGGCTCACTTAGTCAGGGCAGTGGCCACTTCAAAGGCTTTTGCATTGGCACTGCCCATTGAAGAGATATGCTCTGCCGCTATTTGGAGCAGGCCTAGCACTTTTATCAGGCACTATCAGCTCGATACACATTCTCGTGATCGAGCGCGTTTTGGCCGTTCTGTTCTTTCCAGTGGACAGTGTCCTGCCACTGACCGAGTGAGTCTTGGTTATTTGGACAGATGACGCTGCTTTCAATTGTGTATAATTGATATATCCACTGTTATCATATCTAACTACTTTTGATATCTCTCATGAGATAATAGTCGGTTGTGAGTTGGTTTTCCCCCTTACAGTGCTCTTTAATAAATTCACGATGTGGATGGGGTTTTTTACTTTCGCACTGTGTGCGACATGCTTTGCTTAACCTGTGAGGTCGGATGTCAGTACGTTCCTCCCTGTCGGTTACCCTCCCATCATGCCTCTCGCGGAAGCTTCGGGACACGTGACAGGTGAGTGTTGTGGCGTCTGTTACATTCTTCCTAACGATCGCTATTTATGTGTACTTTGACAGAATTCCCTCCTCCCCCGCCTCCGGTCTTTGGGAGTCTGCGTTAATGCATATATGTACCCCAAGGACGATCTCTATGAAAAAGAATTAGCTAAATCTGTAGAGGTTTCCAATTCTTTGAAGAGAATCGTCCTTGGGGTAGGGCCACCCACCTCCCTCTCGTCAATTCTTACCTGGTTGGCTGCGCATGGGTAGCAGGGAGGTAACTCCACGTGGTGGGGGCCGTATAATAGATAAAAAAGATTTTTATTTATTGTACAATATTTTTATTAAAACATTGATACAACTATCACATGACATTTTCATCCACAGAAAATGCATATATGTACCCCTAGGACGATTCTCTTCAAAGAATTGGAAACCTCTACAGGTTTAGTTAAGTTTCCTTGATATTGTTGAAGTTTTTGTGGGAGATTATTTTCAGAAATGTATTATTTCCTGAAATGGAAGTGACAATATGAACTGTCACTTGTTGAATGCATGAATAATTTTCCAAATGAATGTTTCAGAATCCTGCCCATGAACTTGTGTATGCTAAGCAGAAAGGCTTTAGTTTCTGGCCAGCAAAAGTAATAAAGGTTTTAGGCGGAAAATATGATGTTCGATTCTTTGGAGGATACCACCAACGGTATGGCACAGTTACTTCCCTGGGTTAAGAATAGGGCCCCAGTAATTCCCTTATTCTATAAAGGGAGTCGGTGGTTAGCCTAGTGGTTAAAGCATTCGTTCATCACGCAGAAGACCCGGGTTTGATTCCCCATATGGGTACAATGTGTGAATCCCTTTTCTGATGTCCCCTGGAATATTGCTAAAAGCGGCGTAAAACCATACTCACTCACTCACTCACTCACTATTATAAAAAGGGACAACATGGATTGATTGGTCAGACTTGGTGACTTGGTGACTTGAAATGAGTGTCACTGTACATACACAGCATAGGGCAATGCTCATTATATCAACCATTGGCTTGTCTGGTTCTGATTATTTCTAGGGGCGGTGGGGTAGCCTAGTGGTTAAAGCGTTGGCTCGTCACGCCGAAGACCCGGGTTCGATTCCCCACATGGGCACAATGTGTGAAGCCCATTTCTGGTGTCCCCCATGATATTGCTGGAATATTGCTAAAGCGGTGTAAAACTAAACTCAGTCAGTCTGATTATTTCTGGTCATTGTCATAACCTGGAAAATGTTGAGCTTTAAACCAAAAAAAGAACAGTGTTCAACAATAGTATGCATAGATTACATGGTTTAAATTGCGTAAATATTACTATCAAATAATTAATATTTTCTGATGATTTGTTGTTATTACTGCACTCAGCAATGCTACACGTCTGTGCCAAAGGCTTGTAAATTACAGTCTGGACCAGATGATATTGTGGCTGATGTTTGCATCAAACTACACGACTGGGTTATAATGACATGCATTAATCCAGTCGGTAAGCCTGAGCATGTGTAAGAATATGTAAGAAGTTGACACTTGACACAAGATTCATTGTCTTGTAAATATAGCCTTTATAGTTCTATAGCGAACTTATTCCTGATGTAAAGTGCTTACAAAAGTATAAATTGTCAGATCAGTATTTTGGTCTTAAGCATGATTTGGGTGTGATGCTTTTCAGAGCTGTGATCCCAGAAGGAAAGATCAAGCCTATCTCAACCAATGTCAGAAGTCTCACTGTGAAGCGAACTACAGGTAGGCTGTTCTACAGTGAAATAACTCTATTGTTTGGGTTTTTTGTGATTGTTTGTTGGAGACAAATTATGTTTTCTGATACATTGTGTGTATAGAGTTTAAACAGTATTTATTAAAAATGAAGACAATACATTAGAAAGACAATACAGAATGAACAAAAAGGATTGGCAAACAGGCCGAACAATTCCTATGTTAATGCCTCTCACGTTGTTTGTTTGTATATAGATGCTTATCAACTTTCTTCTATTAAATGTTCTAAGTAAACCCCTTTCTTTCACAAGATATCACTTCCAGAATGACACCTGCTTATCTAGACATTTCTTGTGGGTAACAGATGGTACGCTTAGGATTACACTTTCTTAGTAAATACCAATTTGATTACATTTGGGTGGTTTAGTCCCATCCTGGATTAGAACCCACTGAGTGAGGAATCAAATTGCAAGCATGCATAGGCAGCAATATAACCCACTCAGCCACCAAGACTTCCACAAAAATGGAAGTCCAAGAGAACTGGAAAGGCGAGAGTGGTTTAGTGGTTTAAGTCTTTGCTCATCACTCCTAAGAGAGGGTTCACTTTCCCACATGGATCCAACATGCGAAGGCCTTGCCATGATCTAACAAGAATAATGCTAAAAGCGTTGTAAATCCATACTCACTCACTCACTCACTCTTACATTGTGTATGTTTGTGTGTTTTCTTGTAGGGTTTGTGAAAGCATGTGCAGAGCTTGAACTCCACCAGAAACTGTTACGGGAGAAAGTGACGGAGTCGAGTATTGACAGCGACAGTGAAGACTTGGACTGGGAGGATGATACCGACACCCGACAAGTCACATCAACAAGTCTCCTGCCATCAAAAGTACATGCCGCTAAAGTTGTTTTGAAACGTATTTCAGACCAGCATGTCAAGGTTTGCATTGTTGTTATTGTTCTAGCTAGTTATTTGTTAGTAACGTACAGTCTGGCATGCGATAGTGTTTACTTCTTGCAACTTCTCGGTATTGTTACAGCAGTGTCACTTGTTATGCTACGAGGTCATGTTTGTATTTGTTCAGATCCCATGGTACATTGAGTTCAGATAAGCTGCTGTTTGATTTCAGTCAAAGAAGTCCAAAAAGAGAGCTGTAAGTTTACTGCAGAATAATAACATCTTCTGTTTCCCATCCATAGGCTTAAATGTCGCTTCACCTCAAGCTGTGTATAACATTATAAGCAGTGCTGGAATGTTCGTGCTGAATAGTCTGTTAATCCATTATATAGACATTGAAGATGATTATCAACATGGCAAGATTTTTTATTGATAAAACTCAGATAACTTAAAATTAGAAGGAAAGCGTTTTGTTGATCACAGATCTCGTATGTGAAGCACATTTTATGGTCAGATGATGACAGTGATTAATATGACTATTCAGAATGATGACAAGCACTATTTATAACAGAATATCTTCTTTGCAGTTTAATGTCTTTAGTTTGTACCTAAAGTAATGCTCTATGGCATATGTTTTATTATGTGTATAATTCTGATGCAGGACCTAACATTTCAACACCTGGTCAAACTAACACTCTCATTTCTTTTTAGTTTTCATGTAAGGGACCAACCATTTCATTTTCAAAGGAGGCAATGTATCTTTTAATAAATTCTTTGTTCTAGAAAATAGTTGAAAATACTAGTAAAGAACAGCATAGTCTCTTGGACAAAAGTTAATGTGCTAGACCTTTTAGATTTCCTGAAGAAATATGCTGTGAGCACAAAGAAATATACTTGTTCCTCTCTGAGGGATAGCTTTGTGCTTGAAGTGTCTGCTTGGCACACTGAATGACCAGGTTCACTTAGGTATATTTTCTGGTCCCCCATCATGATATTGTTGGAATGTGGCATAAAACATGACTCACTCAGTACTATCAAAGGAAATAAATATCTCCATCTCCCTCAAGAATATGAATGTGTTGGTCCCTGAGACTGGACTATTGCTTGTACTATGTAAGCTAGTGATGTATAGCATGATGAACTAAAACTGATTTCCTGTAGAGCACAGAAACAACGTTAACATCCTTAGTTGTAGCACATCCCATAGACTTTGTGCACATAGTCACCTGATAATGTTACCACATGTAGTGGAAGCCTGTTATCTGGACGCCTGTACTTGTTAGGTTTGCATGTCCTGATACATGATACATATAACTTACCCAGTCAACATTCATTGTACATCATTTGCATGAGCTTACAAGACCTTGAACTTATTTGCGTTTACTTTCAATCATGATTGATTTGACTTCTCCTAATTATGTTATGTAGTCTAATTTAGCTTTTTGTTGCATAACAGTTGGTAAGGTTACTCAAGCTAAGAAGTTATCAGGCCAGATTATTGCAATCAATTAGTAAATTCTACGTTTTGAAAATTGATGCAGAATTGAAATGTGAATCAATAAATCTGTAACCTGGTAATCTGATTTGTGATTCTATTTCAGAAGAAGTCCTCCTTGGGGTACATATAAGCATTAAGTGTCGATTATAAATCCTACGACAGTTGTAACTATATTTTTCAATAAACTATTTACAAAACAAAAAACTCGTTATGTTTTGTGAGACCACCCCTACATGGCCCCACTTGACCCCCAACATCCAAGAGCAGGTAACACTCGCTGTCTACCTCGTACCTCACTTTTCATGCTGTCGTTCTGTTGAATAGACGTGCATGATGTTCGTTTTCGAGTTTGCTCTCCTACCGATACGATGAGTGTAAAAGAGTCTCAATCTGTATGTATAGTTCCTTTCTTTACGCACGGGCGTTAGATGGACTTCATATGTTGATATTCTCGTTCGTCTTTTGTTGTAACTTTGCGGGGGGTTCTCTGTTTTCCAGCCTTGTGGCAGGCAAAATGGCGGACCGCGTGATCGTGGTTTCCTTGCTATATGTTCTTGGTAGCTTGTAGTAGGGAGTTCATATATTATGTTTGCATATTATATGGTAGGCTTACCTAAATTCTCTCTCTTTTCAGCGAATTTGTGGTAAGTCGGTGTTGAGTAATTTTGATAGTGTTCGTTTCGTATCACTACAGACCGCCTCCGTGGTGTAGTGGTTAGAGCGTCCGCCCGGAGAGCGGAAGGTCGCGGGTTCGATCCCCCGACCGCGTCATACCAAAAGACGTTGAAATATGGTACTTGTTGGTCCCTGCCTGGTGCTCGGCATTAATGGGTACAACAAGGACTGGTCAGCTCAGAGTCAGTATAATGTGTTTGAGTGGGGTATTCCTGCTTCACTGCGGCATGGTATCTCAGTGGGCTAGCACTATAAAACCAGCTTAAGTCTGGGCTAGTACAAGCAGCCGCACATACACATACACACGCATGCACATCGTCATATGAGTGAAATATTCTCAAGGACGACGTAAAACCCAATTTCACCTCACCTCACCTCGTATCACTACACTTTACTCACTAGTATGTACAAGCAGGTGCAGCTAGATTTTTTTCTGCTTTGCATTGTATGTTTAGTATTTAAATAGCTGTAGCTTGTAGCATTTAAATATCGCCCGTGCGTTTTATTTATTGCTAGTTACTTGTGTTTATGTGTTTGCTGTTTCACAGTTCCTGCTAGTAACACTGGCGCGGTTCTGTTTGTTGCAGTTTAAGCCCTGTGTGTTGTGTCGTGCACACTACCGCCACAGGATGTTCATAAGGTGTGCCTCCGGTGTTTACCTGAGGACGCTCACGACGATCAGGGATTTTCATAATAAACGCCCTTGTGTCAATATTCCTGTTACGTTATGTTGTGTTATGTTACACATACACATTTCATACGTTTATACACAACGTGGCTCATAGTGGCCGAGGTTGTGTTTGTTTTGTTTTTTTGCCTGGGTTTCTGCGCCTCACGCTCATTCTTTCAGGCACACAGATTTATGTTTTTCACTAATCTGCTTCAGGCTGGGGAGGGGCGGTGGGGTAGCCTAATGGTTAAAGCGTTGGCTCGTCACGCCGAAGACCCGGGTTCGAATCCCCACATGGGCACAATGTGTGAAGCCCATTTCTGGTGTCCCCCGCCGTGATGTTGCTGGAATAAAAGCGGCGTAAAACCAAACTCAGTCAGTCAGTCAGGCTGGGGATAATTTTTGATGAAAGGTTTCTAAGGAAGTCCCTTTATCGTCCCCATGCCTACTCCTCCCCCACAAACATTGTTGCTACACTAACGATTGATTTCTTACTTATAGCAGCAGCGGAGATCGTCGGTGTACGCTCTTATCTCAGACGTGGTTTCCAGACTGAGAGGAGATTGGTACCCGGTCTACGGGCAGAGATTACACCGGCACATCTTTTGGGGGAGGTCCTGACCCGAGCTTCGGCTCAGGGGACACTCTGAACCTGGAGACTAGCACCGACCCGGGCTTCGGCCCCGGTAGGGCGCAGATCCCCGGTGCCGGTAGCTCAGGGCTTGGCCTGATGTCTCTCGACGCCCAGGCCAGGAGGCTGTTGAGTGTGACGGAGCTACTGAGCTGCCGATCACCTCGACACTCTAAGGTCTACCCGTGTCCACCAGGGTAACCCTGCATTGCCAGGCTACACCCATGTGTCTTGGGACCGGGGTTCGGACTCTCTGAACCTGGGGACTAGCACTGACCTGGGCTTCGGCCCTGGTAGGGCGCAGATCCCTGGCGCCGGTAGCTCAGGTCTCGGCCTGATGTCTATCGACGCCCAGGCCAGGAGGCTGTTGAGTGTGACGGAGCTACCAAGCTGCCGATCACCTCGACGCTCTGAGGTCTGCCCGTGTACTCCAGGGTAACCCTGCATTGCCAGGCTACTCCCATGTGTCTCGGGACTGGGGGTCGGACTAGCACGAACCTAGGCTTCGGCCCCTGTACGGAGCAGATCCCCGGCGCTGTTAGCTCAGGTCTCAGCCTGATGTCCATCGACAACCTGGCCAAGAGGCTGTTGAGTGTGACGAAGCTACCGATCACCTCGACGCACCAAGGTCTACCCGTTTACACCAGGGGGAACCCTGTATTGTCAGGCAACTCCCAGGTGTTTCGGGATGGGGATTCGAACTCGAACCCGGACCCGAGCACTTATATATATATATATGTATATGTATGGGTATTTATATAGCGCTATAGGCTATGTTTGACTATATGCTCAGTGCGTTTTTGGAGACAGTACTGGGGAACCCTGATTTATCAGGCTACTCATACGTGTCTCGGGATCGGGGTTCAGTCTAAAACCACTGGGCTTAGGCTCCGCGGATGCTCTGAACGCCGTGAGTAGCACCGACCCGGGCTTCAGCACTGGTAGAGCGCAGTTTCCTGGTGCCGGTAGTTCAGGTCTCGGCCTGATGTCTATCAACGCCTTGACCAAGAAGCTATCAAGTGTGCCGGGTGTGTCAGTCAGCTCGACGCTCCGAGGTCTGTCTGAGTGCTTGGGATACACTGATTTATCAGGCTACTGCCAAGTGCCTCGGAACCGGGGTTCAGGCTCATACAGTGGACAAGTCGATTTGAGCTTCGACTCTCTTTCGCTACTTTGAACTTAACACTGAGAAGGTTCGTTCCTGAGGCAAGTGTGAGATAGAATCGCTGCAGTGTTGCCTCAGGTGTTGTCCGTGTCGAATACCCAAACCGTTAGAGTTCGCCTCCCAGAGGGAAACCTGCTTCCACCAAGGCATCCGGGACAAGGCCTCACACTCTACCGTCAGTCTGCCGTTCTGCTGAGGGAGCTGGTGGAAAGGGGAAAGAGTGCCGACTCTGCCATCGGCCACTCTGGGCGGCATCTGACGAAGGTCAACTCTCATCTGGCTAGGGACTGCATTGTAGCTGTGCCAGCCAAATGATGATTGCGGTTATGGGCCTATGGCGCCCCGGGACTGTTTCGAGGAATACGGAAGTCTGTCTAGCTTCTCGTTAATCCCTCAGGTGCCCAGGCACAGGCAAACGTTATGTCGCCGACTGCTGGGGTTTACTGTATTCTGCTACAAACCCTGGTAGAAGTGTGACACGCTAGTGTCGGCTTCCCGGGAGATGGCGAAAATACTCCGTGCCGAGATCCAGTCTCTGCTGGGCAAGGCACCATCGAGGTGGTTTCCAATGGTCAGGAAAATGTAGGATTTGACTCCATTTATTTCCTTGTTGCCAT